ATTACTGATCATGAGATAGAATCATTTCTCTCCTCAATCTTGTTCAGACCCCAACCAAACTTACAGGGAATTTAATCTAAGGTGAAATTCAGGCCCACAGCATTTTGCACAGGCTTGGGGGAGGGGGAGGATAAATTCTTTGAATAGATTGCCCAAGGCTGGGCAATTTAGAAGCAAATGACATAAAGTTACATCCCCTAGCCTCTTACTAAAATGGGTCCACCTCCTATTGTAATATTCGTATTTTCTCTCCACACACACACACACACACACAATTTGTTAACAAATCAGAGTTGACTGCTACTCTTAGAAACACCCACTCTTCCAAGGGCATATATACCGTGAAACCAACTCCATGAGGGATCTTTGGCATTCAAGAGTATCACTGACTCTTGTCAAGATATTAGGAGAGACCCTGCTTTCCAGAGCTAAGGCCCAGCAAGCAAGCTGTGCCCTGAACTTGGCATAACAACAATCCTTCGCGCTCACCCTCTGGATGAATTGATGGTCTCTGAGCTCAGGCAAGCACCAACAGGCCCAGACATGAAGCCCTGCTATGAACAGACTTTATGCCACCAGACAAACTTGCCTCACTGTTACTGTTGTACCTTACTACTGTTGCTACACTACATTGTTTGACTCTTTGTCTAGCCACAAGTATATAAATCAAGGTTCAGCCACACTAAAGCAGGTCCCCCCAAGAGGGGCAGGGCCCTGGCACATGTATCTAATCTGTCTCCTTGCAGGCAAGCCAGTTTCCTTCACTTTTAAATTAAACTTCTGTTTGATGCCTGACTCTCCTGTCTCTAGTCTGCTCTGTTTGGCTCTGGACATCTACAGATTAGAGGCCGGTTTGGTCCAGTTGAAACCCTTTTATTAATAAAATGATTGCATTATTAATAAAATAATTAGTTACCCAGAAACTATGTCTCAAATTTTTTAAATGTCACAGTAGTATAGTTTACTTGTTACCCAGTCAGTTTAAAATAAGGCTGGTAAGGTAGGTGGGAGCCAGTCTGAGAAGGGTTTTAAATACTGAAATATTATTATTAACAATAATATTGATAAAGGACTTTAAAGTTTGCAAAGCATTTTACATACATTATAACAACACAGATTCACTGATTTAGATCTAGGTGCCTATGGTCATAGGAGATCATTGTTCTCCTACCCAACACCTTCCTACTCATTAAATTCCAGCAGCTTCCTATTACCTTCAGGATCAAAAACAAAGCCTCTATTTGGTATTCCAAGCCCTTCATAACCTAGTCCCCTGCCACCTTTCCAATCTTCTTACACCTTGTTCCCTGCCAGGTACTCTGACCCAGGGACACTGGTCTCCTGGCTGTTCCATGAACAAGATACTCCAACTCTCCACTGGAGGCATTTTCCCTGGCTAGCTCCATGCCTAGAATGCTCTCCCTCCTCATCTCCACCTATTGGCTTCCCTGGCTTCCTTTAAGTCCCACTGGATTTGAGAGCTGTCACTAAGGAAGCCAGCAGATATAGACTGAAGAGAAGGACTAAAGTGGGTACTGAGATCATAACAGGAAGGTAGAAAGTCTCCCACAGTTAGATAATAGTAACAGAGAGGAGGAGAAATGATAAGACTTACAGCTGAAAAGGGCCTCTAAGATCATTTGACAGGAGAGTCTGAGGCCCAGAGGGGATGTAAAGGTCACATAGGTGGTAAATGATAAAGTAAGCACTTAAAGAAACTGTTAGGTGACTGTGACAAAATAAAGGCCCAAAGGTTTCATCAGTAAACAAGAAATATGCCAACTCTTCCTCCAGGCCCTAGGGGTCTGAGAACATGACAGACATGACCAACACTTGAGAAGTAAGTGATGTGACCTCAGAGGAAAACCAGGTTTCCTTTAATTCCAAGTGACACTGAGAGGATGAAATGGAGTGTGTTTACAAAAGAATGAGGTTCCAAAGATATGGTGAAAGAGGCTAGCAGAGAAGCATGAAACTGGGGAGAATTATGGCTGAGTTATACAGCAATTAGAGGCATCATAGGGCAACAGAAAGAATGCTAGACTTATAAACAGGAGAGGCCTGGGTCGGGGGTATCACAGTTCTGACACTCATTAGCTGGGTGATCTGGGCTGGTCATTTTATATCTTTGAGTCTTAGTTTCTTCATCTGAAAAAATTGGGGTAATAATATTTGGTGAAAACGATGAGATAAGACAATAATATTTGTGCTACCTACCTCACTATGCTGTTGGGAGGAAAGCACTTTGTAGATCTTAAAGCCCTATACAAACATGAGTTTTTATTGTTACAAAAGCAAGGGGCAAAGGAGCTGGGGAGAAGGCTTAAGCAATTAAGCATTAGGGGAACTGGATACTGAGAAAGTTTCAAGAAGGACTTGCCAGCTATAAGGCAGGGGAAGACCAAACGGGCAGAAGCTCATAGACCAGCTCAGTCATCATCAGCTTTTGTAACCCTGAGTCACAGTGGTAATGGAAAGAGAAGATGTCAATTGACAAGCATTTATTAAGCACTTATTATATGCCAGGCACTGTGTTATGCACTGTGCTACAAAGAAAGGCAAAAACACAGCCCTGGTCCAAAAGGAACTCACATTCTAAGATATTACAACAGGTGACTGGTGGTCACAGTCTCAGTTGCCAAACCCTCTGCATATTTGGGAAGAAAATGATTTAACTGATTTTTTTTTTTTTGGTGAGGCAACTGAGGTTAAGTGATTTGCCCAGGGTCACACAGCTAGTGAGTGTTATGTGTCTGAGGCTGGATTTGAACTCAGGTCCTCCTTACTCCAAGGCAGGCACTCTATCCACTGCGCCACCTAGCTGCCCCCTCTCCCCTCCACTCTCCCCCATTTAACTGATTCTATAAAACATCTGGTTCTGAAATAAAGGTAGTGAGGGAATTGTGGGAGGGAGGAGATAAATTCATCTCTAATTACAGAAAAAGCACTACCCTAAGAACAGCTCCAAATTTGGGTGCTCCTTTTAAGTGAAGTCCCACCTTCAATAGACGTTCAGCATAAATGTGACTAAGTATCCTCAGCACTGTCCTGCAAAACTTCTTTTAAAATGCAACAAAAATAGCAGAGGGTTATCCTAAATAACTGTAAGACTAAGGACTCCCTTCAAGTTTCCAGGCATTTTTCTGTACTTCACCAGCCTTTATTACATTGTAGGGTAAGCTGTCTTTTCTAGAAAAGTTACACTTGCATACTTCTTATTTGATACTATTTTCAGCCTCCAAAACCCCTAAGTAGTTAGAATTAAAAGTATATCAGAGTTTCAGAGGCAATGTTTAAGAGTCAGTCGTTTTTGGCAGAAAGATATTCAAAGAGAATAGTAGGAAGTAGGAAGTCTTCTCCTTGATGGAAAAGAAGATTTTATTGGATAGATGCTCAGGACCAGAAAGCAGCCAAATGGATGTCAGGACTGAATTATAGAGCATTTGAGAAGCTGAAATGTTTATTGAAGAGTCATCTTCTATTCGAGCTAGGAAGGAACAACCACAGGCAACAGAGATTCCCTATGGAGGAGGACAGGAAGAGAGAAGTCAGAAGAGTGAGTGCCACACAGCCAGAAAAAGGAAGGCAAAACTCAGGAAGGAACATTGGCCTGGGAGCTTAGAAACATCTGCTGAAAGGCCTACACAGAAGGATCATCACAGCCTTTGGAATCTGTACAAATGGGAGAGGAAGTAAAATTTCACAGAAACTTCAGCATATCAATAGAGAGAGAAAATCACAGACCATTAATTCCCAACACAATTATTGCACTACAGTGAAGTTAAGGGTACAGAGAGTTATGAGGGCAACCTCAGAATAGAGAAACATTCCCCAACCCCCAAATGACCCTTACACAGGAGGCAGCATTCAAGTTTGAAAGTCAGAAGACTGATATCACCTAGGCCTTTGGAAAAGCGTCAACATCAGGTCCCTAGAGAGATAGCCTCAGCATGTGCCAGGCATGTTCCCATAGCCACCAATTCACACATACTTTGGCAATAGCTTGGACCACAGTCAATTTAACAGCAGTAATATAGTCCATAGCTTAAGGGCTCTGATTCTTTATCCAGAAACAGCCCAGATCACAAAACTCCTCACAAAAACCAGGTAACCTTAAGATAAGACAGAAAAGATTTCTTCTCCCCATTCCCAGGTAGGGGAGTGACTTTCCTAACTTCCATCTTGTCACTGCCCTGGCAGTTCAGCCTTCAGCCTGTAAGGATCTTTACCTATTTACCCCCTTCTAACACTATAGTAAGCTCTAACCACCACCCCTCCCAGCCAGATCTGTAGTGGCCGGGCTTCATCTTCCTCCCCAGCTCAGAAATGGGCCTTACCCACCCAGCCAATAACACAGCAGCATTTATCCTTCCCTTTCCAGTCCCTGCCCCATCCCTCCCACTAGGTGAAGGCAATAACCACCCCCCTTTCTTTATTCAGTAACGTCCCCGACCCTGTGCCACCCCAGCCTGAAATGTCACTGAACCTCTCCCTTCCAGCCTGTGACTACAACAGCATCCCATCCCCAGCCCTGAACGGTCTTGACCCCACTGCCTGATTCCCCTCACCTGGTCTGAGAGAACCCTAACCCACCCCCCAGCCTGCGAGGGTCCTGCCAGCCTCGGGCCTTCCCCAAGTCTCTGTCTGTGATGACCCTGACACCCCAGGGGCAGCGTTGACCCTCCCTCCAGACTCCAGCCCATACAGCCCAGTTCCTTCTTTTCTATGAGTGATGGCCCAGGAGATCTTGACCACTCCCATCCCATCTTGACGGACGTGACAGCGCCCACCTCCCCCCAGGCTGGGACGACCGGGCCCCACCAACCCAGCGAGAGGATGCCAGACGCCCCGTTCCCGTCCCGGGGCGGCCCCGACCACCCCCAAATCCCTTTCTCATAATCTGTGACAGTTAAGGGCGGCCGCCAGGTCCTTGGGGATCGTTCAGCCCATTAAACGCCAAAGCTCTCTGTCCTTGCATGTGCTGCCCCGCGGGGACTCACCGGTCAGCTGCTGCCCGAAAGCGGAGGCGGCGGAATAAGCCCCTTCCTCCGGGCACATAGTGACCCCCGTAGTCCTCCTCCTCCTCTTGCCGGGAAGGGGGCGGGGTGCGCGAAGCCGGAACCGCGCGGGAACCGCGCTCCCTGGACCTTGTAGTCCTTCCGCCTCATCGATCTCCGCAGCCACGGGAGGGGATTCCTTGAAGAAAACTACAATTCCCGGCGGCTCAGGCCCAGCCAGTGCTGATTGGAGACAGCAAAATCACTCTATGTTACAGTTTGGATTTTTATTGGCTTTGGTTCACCGGCCATCCCGATCAGACCCAATAGTAGGGCGAAGTTTCGGTTCTCGTGGCTGGAAGTGGCCCCGCTGAGAAGGCACGCTAGCTATCGTCACATCTATGAACTAGAGTCGACATGACTGCCCGCGCGACTGCGAGCTGCGGAAACTACGGGGCAGAGGGCCAAGAGGCATCAGGGGGCGGGTACTTCCGGTAGAGGTAGTCCAATCGCAGAGCCAGAGACCTAGTGCCCTATAAAAACCCGAAGAGGCGGGCTTCCCGTTCTTTCTCTGGCTTGCGCGCTTTCTTGTCGGAGGTGAGACTCGTGAAGTACTCCTGTGACTCTCAGCTTGGTTGGGCACTGCTAGCTCCGAGTTCCAGGCAGGGACCTGGCCAGCCCTGCCTGCTGGCCTCACCCTTCCTCTCCCACCCTGCTGTAGCACCTGGGAACGGCAACCGAAAGGGCTCATCCTCCGGCACGTGGAGCTTTCCTGCGGCGCCGCCGGACGATCGAGGTGAGCTGGATCTCTGGCCCTGGCCTGGTAGGGCCGGCCTTCACTTACTATCTCCGTGCTCCGCGTGCAGACTGAATTAGCCGAATCACGTGGGTGGGCCCCTCTCCAATAGGAGCTCGAACGAATCTTAAAGAGATGATCCAGTCTGCTCTGTTCCTTTTACAAAAGGGGAAATTGAGATTTGGAGAAGGGTACAAGACCTGTGCAAGGTCAAAGTTAGGTAGAGCCAACCTTGGCTTTTGGGCGGCGTGTGAAATTTGAGGAAAGGAACTGAAACTTGGCCCACCCCTGCTAAGGGTGTTTTAATTGATGTAGAACTTTTATTTGTCCGCTCTCCGGAAGGCCTGGTCTCATAACTTGGGAGATTAAGGTTTGCTACTGATTGGGGAGCCCGCGACCAGTTGACTTATCCCCGTATCCCGCTCCTAAGGGGTAGACGAGAGCCCCTCTGCCTCACACCTCCGCCTTAGGTTGTGGGCATGAATTAGCTTGCGTTACTTGTAAGCAAAGAGTTCATGGTCATGGGCCCCAACATAAACACCACCCCCAAATTGGCTCTAGCCTAGAACTGGATACACCATGCACGGTCTTTGGCTAGTCTTTGTGTCTTGGTGCTCTAGCATAATGCTTGGCGCATAGTAGGCGCTTTAGTAAATGTGTATTGACTGCTATGACCAGATACCCTTGGTACTCAGGTAATGAGTAATGAAGTAGTTAATCCAGGGAACGCGTGCCTAGTTGAGGGAAATGACGACTCTGGGACAGTAATCGTGAGTCCGACTTCAATTGGTCCGGTGGTTGACTTCGCTCTTAGAAGGCAGTTAGTCTACAGCTTATTTGCTGCCACCTAGTGGGAGAGCACAGGAGGAATTCTTTACCTGTTCTAAATTATAAGCTAATCTGATCTCAGGTAGGTCCTGAAAGTTCCATAGGTGCTAGTGAAAGCATTCTCCCTCTCCAAAATGGGCGTCTGGATTATAGTAGACCTGACTTTTAATTACGTTGGGCCATTTGCCACAACTTCAGTAGCCAGTGATGAAATCCACATTTCTGACACCTCGTATGAGTATTGCCAGTGCCAATACTTGATTATGCTTAAGATCTGAGGCTGCAATTTATTGTCTTCTACTCGGGAACTGCATTTTATTCAGTTGAATTTTAGATAATAAATGTACTGTTTAAACTTTTAGGTGTGCCCCATGCTGTGGATGAACTGAACCACCAAAAAGGTGAGATTTGTACATGCTTTTATTTTTAAGATAGTCTGAGCCAGTGATGAGACATTTCCATTTCTGACACCTCGTATGAAACCTGCATATGCAGTTTGATTATATAGCAAGGCTGAGGCTCAAAGATTATAATTAATTGGACATGAATTGAAAAATGAGTGGCAGGAAATCACCAGTCTCTCAAGAATTGTTCCTTCTAAGTATATGGTTGGTTTTTTTTATTTTTAGATTCCACAATGATAGCAAGCTACAACAATTTCTTCATGAATTTCTGTTTGTGTTGTGGGTAAGTTAAAAATTTAGAGCTTGTGGGGGGGAAACTTTAAGATAAAATCCATTATGTTCACAATAAAAAAGGCACTTTGGTTGTGGATGGTGGGGGGAGGGGGTCTAACCAGTAGCGGACAACAGCTGAATAGCCATTCACTGTATAAAATTCTCAAACCTTTATATCTAAAAATGAAAAACATGGCATAGCTACATGCTGAGGCAGCTTTCTATTTCCTGGTGTTTATGCCTCATCCCTGTTCCCCATATTCCTCCTCCTCACCTCCCCCTTCCCCATTGTTCCAGGTCTTTAAGTGCCAAGGAGATGGAAGTATAGAGCTAGAACACAGCATCACCTGGTGCTCAGGGGCTTTCTCAGTGTCCATAGCTTCTCCTGGCTCCAGGGTACATCCTTCCTTTGGATCACCTCTACCATGGCAGCTTTGCTGTGGTTGGGGAAGGAGGGAGACAACATAGTGTAGAGATGACCCATTTCCCAGTACCATTCAGTGATTTTTGTATGTGTATCCCTACGCCAGAACATATTTTGACAATACATATAGATGAGCTTGCAAAAAAAGCTACTCCATAGTAGCTGTAGGGAGCACCTGCCATAAAAGAGGTACTTGTCAGAGGTTTACTCCTGACAAAAGCTGAAAATGACCAGGAAAAATAGATTGCTGTCTCTGGCGTCCAGTGTGAACCTGCCTCAACATATGAAAAAGAAAGGTGCCAAGGGGTGGAATTGCAGCCTTTGCAGGAGTGATGCCATAAAATGGAGCCTATCACTCGTAAAGTCCTTCCAAGGTAAGTAAATTCAAGGCAGCCATTAGCAGAGCTGAAGATGGTTCTTTTCTGGACTGTTTCTCTAATCTCTCCCCAACAATCTGTTGCCCTAGGTCTTAGTGTAAATTGTCCAAACTAATTTTTTAGAGCAAAGCTCCTTTTGCTAGATCTGAACCTCAGGAATGCAGCCTAACTTGGCTACCAAATGTCTCAGGACATGTACAGGAAAAGCCACTGATGCCAGACCTAGGTTCCCAGGCCTATTATGAGATTGCTGTCTGTTTTCCTTCCTTCCTGATGTTACATTTGGAGCAGAGAGTATGAAGGCATTATCACTCATACCTGCCCAATCACCACTTCCAATTATGTTGTGCCTAGTGCAGATATCTGAGCATGCTTGAGTTGTCAGGGAGCTGGTGTCTGTGCACAAGTTTAGACAAATAGCACCCTTAGTTTGTATTGGCCCTTGATTGGTGTTTCTTGTCATTATGTCATTAATTGCAATTGTCTATTAAAGTTCTTCTGAATAAACTGAAAATTGGTAAATTGTGACTTAATTTTCTTACATCTGTCACTAGGTGGGCCATTGGTACCAATATTCTCAAAGGATTTAGAATTGGAAAGGACAAGTTAGACCATCTAAAGGACCTCAGTGACTATACTTGAACAAGAGTCCCCTCTATAGTATGTATACCTGACAAATGGCTTTAAGACTTTGAGAAATGAAAACTTCTACTTTCCAAGTCTAATCCTATTTTTAAAAAAGATTTGAAAGCCTTTTATATCTTTCTTCTCCCTCCTTTTTCAAGCCAACATTCTCAGTTCCTTCAGTTGATTTGCCAGGGGTCATCTAGTAGACCCAGTATCCACTCTAAATTCAGTATTTTTATTTTTTTTTTGGTGAGGCAGTCCAGGTTAAGTGACTTGCCTGGGGTCACACAGCTAGTAAGTATCAAGTGTCTGAGGTTAGATTTGAACTCAGGTCCTCCTGCCTTCAAGGCTGGAGCTCTATCCAATGCGCCACCTAGCTGCCCCATAAATTCAGTGTTGTTTTTTTTTTTTTTTATTTTTTTTAATTTATTTTATTTTATTTTATTTTGGCTAGGCAGTGTGGTTAAGTGACTTGCCCAAGGTCACACAGGTAGTAAGTGTTATGTGTCTGAGGCCGGATTTGAACTCAGGTCCTCCTGAATCCAGGGCTGGTGCTCTAAGCACTGCACCACCTAGCTGCCCCCAATTCAGTATTTTTTTTCTTTTAAACACATTAATGCCTTTCTTTTGATATCTTTATTTCCTGGATAGTCCTAGAAATAGGTAGTGGTTTTTGTTTTGTTTTGTTTTTTAAAAACAGCAGTCCCTTATGAGTTGGGCCCTTCAAATCTTCCCAAATTGAGTGCCAACCTGAAACAACAAACGGAGCCAAGTTTATGGTCATCCCCTTTTCGGAATTGTTTTTTGGGAAGCTGCCAGTTAGATTGCTGGCAAGCAGAAGGCACAGCAGTGTACGAGCTAGGTTTGGAATGGATATCTCCCTCTTACTGCCTGCCCTGGGCTGAAAGTGTGACCTTGGTAGAGTCCCACTCTAGTACCAGGAATTATCTCGGTTTGACATGGTTGGGTAATTTTTCAGATTCCTTCCAGTGACAAGAGCCAAGCACAAAACACAACATTGCTTTTTTTAAAAACCAACAAACTTTATTGACAGCATCGTGGAACATAACAGCCATGAACAGAAGGGCCAATACGGAAGATGTTTGTACAAGGTCAGAGTAACTGAGTCTTGTTTCAGCAGCACTTCATGATATAAAAAGCTATCATCAGACATAATACAGTATGACCACTGAATTCAGGGCTACAGAATCTATGAACCTCATTGGATACAAGACAGAAGCTTGGTTTGCTTCATCACTCTTTAAATCTACTTTCCTGATTGGGAACACTGTATTTTATATACTTTTAAAGCTCCTGTGTGGAATTCAGTAGTTATACTGCTACCATCAAGATGACAAATTGATTAAATAATTCAAGACCTTGTTACCCTTACTGTTCTGGACCCTTTTTGGTGAGCACCTGAAACTTGCTGATCAGAGCCCACATTTTCAGCCAGTATGCCAAATAAGACTTGGTAAATTATAGAATTGTTTCATAATTACCTGTAAAATATTCTATTCTGTCTCCACACATGGAGTTCGCTGGTGTATGAGGGCCTTCCTGGTATCATTCATTTCCAAGCCCCACCAGTGGTTTGAAATGATACATGGTTTAAGTCCATGGAAATGGGATTTTGTTTTTTCAGCTTATTTCAACTGGAGTGCACTCTGAAGGAGGGGATATTTGTTAAGGGGAAAAATAGCTTTGTGGCAGAGGCTAGTTGAAAGAGGTTTTATGTTAAGAGGAATTGGGAGGCTTGGTTTAAGGGCCAGCTGTGTAACCATTTTGGGTAAATAGCAATCTTTTATCACCCATAAAATGGGCAACCCTGCCTACTTCAAGGTTATTGAGGTTTGACTAGGATGACAGGAATGCACTTGGAGACTGTAAAAAGCTGTAGATTTTGTTAGGGATTAGTTTTATGGTCACTATTCATGACCTTATCCTATATGAGAAGACTACAAAAAAAGATGCTATTTCCCGATTTGTAATAGGAAAAGACCTTAAAGTATTACCATGTGAGTTATCTTCATAAACTATACCTGGTTTTAGAATTATTTTTAAAGTTTTATCACCCTCCAAGGAATGAAGAGGATGAATGCAAACCTTGTGTGCCTTTATGCTCTTAGAAAGCAAGACTGGAGGCTGGCATGCTCAGACTGGACTTCTACCTTTCTGTTCCAGCTTTCAGCCTGCCAGTAGAATCCAGGACAGCCCACGTTTTTGTTGGTTAATAATTGTTTTTTAAGTGCCTATGATGTGCCAGGCACTGTGTTAAGCACTGGGGATACAAAAAGGCAAAAGATGGTCACTGCCCTCAATGAGCTCACAATCTAGTGGTCCAAAGGATTCAGGTCCAAGAGACTAACAGGCCTTCTAAATAAAAAGCTAGAGTCCCATTTGGTCAGCAGAGTAGGGCTCCAAACTGACCTGTTGAAGGGAGGGAAGAAGGGAAATAACACTGCAATGCTTCCCAATTACTCTTGGGACAGAAGTAAGCCCAGTTTACTTTGATGAGAGGAGAGGAATTATTACCTTTCTTTCTCCACCCTGGGCAGGTTACAAAGTAGTCCTTGGAATAGTTTCTATAGTCCTTATCATTTGATTGGTAACATCGAAATGCTAAAGGCCTTCCTTATGGGTGACCAGCTTTCTTGGAGGTTCCACTTGAATTTTAATCCTGGGTACCCTGGTAGTGCTGAAATGTAACCCTGCCTTTTTGGAATAGTTATGGAGTAGATATATCTGAAGTCCATCTGTAGCTTTTTGTTTTCTGGTATCTTAATGAGAGCACAACTCTTAAGACTCTTCTGTGATTGCCCTTTCCAACTGAAATTTGGGGAAACCACAACTTTTCTCTATATTCTAGATTTGGGCAAAAAATAGCTTTATGTAAAGGAGGGATCTCCAAAGAAACCTTGAGAAATAAACCAAGAGGATATGAACCATACATTTAAGGGTATTGAGGAAGAGAAAGGAGCAAAAACATGGAGCCAGAGCCCCTGTCACTATACAAATGATTTGTCAGGTTGGTTTTCTGCATGTGGAAAGCCCAGTGAGTTAGCATGTGGGAAAACCAACAGATTGGTTGAAGTTACGATAAAATTTGCATTTTCTTACTGGAGAGGCAGGTCACCTACAGTGAGCAGCCAGACAAGGACAAAGGCATGTCCTTTTTAAGGGTCTGACCCTTTTTTCTTACTGTCTGTAAACAGCTTTGGCAAAACTTGGCAAGTGAGATGCTTTGTGAAGGGAACATGCCATGTTGAATATCCAGGGCTGATGAGGTTCAGTACCCTTGCCATCATAACTTTACAGAGCCAGGGAATGAGTGTCCTGACCAGCCAAAAAGAAGTTACTGAACCTTATGGAGCTGGCTGTCCCAGCACCATGCTTCCAGGCAGGTCTGGAACCTTGCTGGTTCAAAGTAAACTCCCATCACTGTTATCTTCTCCCGAGGAGAATTGTTCCTCCCACCCAGTTTGCTGTCCTTTTCTCTGCACCTCCCTTCTTTCACCTTTACAAAGAGTGACACACAACAGACATGCACATACTGTCCACAAGAAAGGTGGCTCACAAGCACTGGAGCACAGTCCCTAGGCAGGGCTAGCAGGCTCTGGGAGCTCCAGGTCAGGGGCGGCAGCAGCCTGAGCCTCGGACTTCTCTCTTCACATAGTCATGCAGCTTGAATTTGGGTTCACTTGGCAGCTTCATGGACCTGTGCTTCAGCTCCCTGCAAGGAGAGATGGAGCCAGCTAGAATGTTCCTGGTTATTCATTTTCGGACTCACGTACCAGTTTGCTTGAGAACAGGAGATCAAGCTAGAAAGCTATATAAGATACTTGGCAGGTATGCGGGTGGTAGTGTTGACCCTTCTCCCAAAATTTTGCAAATGATGTGTGTATGGAGAAAGTCCAGCTGGGCAGTGGGCCATGGGGAGGAGGGGTCGCCCCAAACTTCCTCCGTGCCCTGCAGGGGGCTAAAGCTTGAAAACCTATCTGAATGAATGAGCAGTGGGTCCAGGCTACCAAGGACAGGGAGCCTTTGATGGCAAACCACATAAAAACTGGTGCATGCCCCCACAAACACATTCCCATGCACATGTCCAAGTCAAAAACAACTACCCAATCCCAGAAGATCTTGAAAAATAGAGAGGGGAAGGAAAAAAGGGGGACTTACTTTGCAATGGCCTTAAAGGCCAAATCCACATTCAGGCCTGTCTTCGCACTGGTTTCCATGAAGGGCACCCCATACTCCTGTAAAACATGCTTGCCAGCTGGAGGGAAGGTAAGGGAGCAGAGCATCTGGCAGGCCCTCCTGCATCTTTAGGGTAGGGGAAGGTTCACCACCAAAAGCCCAGGGGTCTCCAAGGTCATTCCTCACCCCCAACATCTGCCTTCCCCAGGGGTGTTGAGTTGCTGTCCCAGGAAGTTCTGTTGGCCTAGTTTGGGGGAGGGGAATGTGCTGACCAGCGATCTCCCTACCCAGTTCTTATGTTACAATCCTGCAGCAAGGGTCTAAAGAGCTTGCTTCTTTCATCTCTTAATTCCCTCCTTGGCCTTAGCTGAGGCAAGAGAAAAGGGACCTTTGGACTCCAAAGCCAGTGGGCTTGGCTACAATCATAGGGCTATTATAGCAGGCTTCAAGGGTCTCATTTTTAAAAAAGGTTTCATTAGTGCCTTTTGCTTTTTTATACTGCTATTATTTCCCTACATATCCACCTCAACCCTGGATAAAGTCCACCTGTAACAAAGAAAGACAAGTAAAAACCTACCAACACACAGTGCATCAACATTCCATAGCCATAGCCCTCACCTCTTTTATATGAGGGAAGTAAGTTTTATCATCTGGGATCAAGATAGGTCACTGCAATTAGAGTCTGGCCAGCAGCCCACTAGGTGCTTGTATATGTGCTTCTGACAATGAGTCCCACTTCCCAAAGAGCACCAAATCACAAGGCTGAACATGAACCAGAGCTGCTCTTGGCCCTATCTGGGGCCTTCACTGCTGCTCTTGAGTACCTATAGTAATTGATCTATTTCCATCTCTCCACTCCTAATCAAACACATGCACACTTAGTGTACTCACCTTGGCCAGCTTCTCCCCATCTTCCCTTTTTACCACTCGCTCCTGGGTAGAGTCCACCTAAGATGGGGTGCAAAGAATGGGAGCATAGTAAGGCCTTCTGGGCTTCTTGAGGGGGAAAGAGGAGCCTTCCAGCCACCAAGGAGGCAATGCAGGGAGTCTGGCTCAGCTGAGTCTGAATGGCAACCACCAGCCAATAGATAGTCACTAAAGAGTCTAATGATCAGGGAGGTTAGTGCCAGGGCCCCCCAACAGCCCAACTCTGCTTCTGCTACGGGTGAGGTGAAGCTGAGAGGCCCCTATCACAACCTACCTTGTTTCCCAACAGCATGAGCACCACATCTTTTTGTGCATATTCATGGATCTCAGTCAGCCAGGCCTACAGGAGGAAAGGAAAGGAGGAAAACTTATGTCCTGCTTGTCTCCCCCACCCCCAATATCCTGAGAGTCTGGACCCTAGACCTGGAGCCAGTTCTCTGTGGCTCCCTGGTCAACTCTAACCACTTCCCCAGACTGCCTCTTATCTTCCATTCAGCAAATGGTTAAGTGTGTACTCTCACAAACCGAGATACTCCCCCCACAATGTACTATGTGCCTAATCTCCCCCACCCCTTATAACAACCTTCCCTCAGACTCATAGCCCTTATTTTGTATTTCTCTAATATGCCTTTGTGTGTTGTGATATATCTTCCTACTAGCCTGAAAGCCCCATGAGGGCAGCTATTGTGTCTAAACTCTCTCTCCACATGCAGTCCAAGGCCATAACAGTTTTGTTTTTCCTGCTTTCTCAGTGGGTGAGGGGTGAGAGGTGAGGGGTGAGGGCTGGGCTAGGAGGGAGAGAATTCAGAACAGAAAATAAAATCAAATTTAAAAATTAAAGAAAAAATCCTCAATATCTTCTTCAGTGCTTAGCATAGTGTTCTGGACACAATAGATACTTAATAAATGCTTGCTTGGACACCCTCATATAGCATTTTTATGATTTATAAGGCATTTTAGAGATGTCTCATTCAGTTCTCACAACCTCTCCGTGGTGGTGGTATCTATTGGCAATGCCAAAGCTACTGTCCCCATTTGACAGATGAGAGAACTGAGGCTCAGAAGGATAAATGACTTTCCCAGTTAGTGACTGTGCTGGCACTCAAGCCTACCCAGATGCTCTGACTCTACACCCAGTTCCCCAGGCCTCTGATCACACTCTTCTGCTCTATTGAGGCATCAGCATTTAAGGGGAGGGAAGTAAGTTTTATCATCTGGGACCAAGATAGGGGGCATCAGCTTCCAGCCTCCACGCACAACATTCCCTGCATATGTAAGTCTACAGGTGATTATCCTTTCAGTGCCCTCCCCCCCACCCCACCCCTTTATTTATGCCCTGAGGAGGTGAGAGATACATATCCAACTCAAAGGATGACCAGGTGCCCCTGGTGAAACTGAGGGTTAGGGAGTAGGTGGGAATTCTGGGAAGGTTTAGGGGGAATGGGACTTAAGAGGGAGGACTTCTATGGACAGCTAGATGGTCTGGTGGCTAGAGCACAGGGCCTGGAGTCAGGAAAACCTGAGTTCAAATCCATGTTCAAACAGTTAGCTGTGTGACCCTGGGCAAGTCATGTAACCTCTGATTGCCTCAGATTCCTCATCTGTAAAAACGGGGATAATAATAGCACCTACCTCCCCTGGTTGTTGTGAGGATCATGTGAGATTATAATTGTAAAGCACTTAGCACAGTCCCTGGCACATGGTAAGTGCTATATAAATGGTAGCTATTATGATTATTGTTTGTGATATTATTATTTTACCTCTTAACATGTTTACTGTGGGTTACAAGCAGAAGCCTAGACTTGAAATCACCACTAGATGGAGGTAAAGAGGCATTGGCACAAAGCTACCATGTCCCCTGCTCCTCAGTGAAGGAGTTGGGGAGGGGAGGGAATATGTACCCTGTCCAAGTGTCCAGATGTCACTGCCCCTCCCCTCCTCTTCCCCACCCTGGCCAATGTGAGTCAGGTCTGGCTTCCATCTTTCTTCAGATCAGTTCTCTGCCATAAGCTAGAGGGAGGGCAGAAAAGAAGGCTAAGTCCTACTAATCCTGCAGGCCTTGGGTGGGTAGGTTGGGCTCAGGCCGGGCTACCTACTCTTACCCCCAACCGCCACCATGGGAACAGGATAGAGAGCTCACCCAGGGCCAAGCATGGAAACCAGCAGACCTCTGTCTGCACAGACTGCTCAGGGCTCAGCTCAACTTACTTATTTACAAGCTTATACTGTTAGAGAAGACATCCTATAATTCTATTACGATAAAATGTAGGATTTTAAAACTGGAAGGAGCATTAATGAGGACATCTAGTCAACCCCTTGATTCTCCTTGAGAGGCAGAGTAGAATAGGCTAGAAAATCTGGATTCAAGTCTTACCTTGAGATGTGTGATCCTCAGCAAATCCAGTGCCCCAGAAAACTCCCTAAGATTATAAATTCCTCAGAGACCACTGATCTTATCTAGGAGAAGCTTCTCACTGGGAGCTCCCAGGGCAGTTGAAATCATAGATCAGGTCAAAATCCCATCATAGTATAGTTAGTTACATCATAGGTTCATAGGATTATAGACCTACGAGAGACCTTACAGATTGTCTAGTCAGAGGATCTTAACTGGGGTCTATCAACTTGACTTTTTTATCTATATATATCTATATATATTATGATTATTGTTGATATATGTATAGATAACAGTATTTGAATATAATTGATTTCTTCTATAATCCTATAAATTTTATTTTATGCATTTAAAAATATCCCAAGAAGAGGTCCGTAGGCTTCGTTAGACTGCTGGAGAGGTCCAGGACACAAAAAATGTTAAGAATCCTTGATCCAGTCGTGGTCCTTTATCTTACAGTTAAGGAAACTGAGGTTTGTCCAAAGTCTCACACACAAGAAGTAAGTAGCCAAGCCCTTGAATTTGAACACAGGTCCTCTGACTCCAAATCAAGCGCTCTATCTGTCTCTTTATCCTCTTACTAGCATAAAAATAAGCTCCACGTCTCATCCAAAAGTTTCTATTTCCCCAAGTCCCTAATGTCACGCTCAGGGCACACACTAGGCTCTTGATAAATGTTGAAATGAATTTGTTCCCCAATCCACATCTGAAGAAGATAGATGCTGAAGTAGCCTCTTTCCCCACAGATGGCCATTTAAAGGGACCTCAGAGGTCATTTAGCCCAACCTCTGTGAACAAGAATCCCCTCAACAACATCCCTGACCAGTTACCCACCAGCCTCTCTTTGAATACTTCCAGTGATAGAGAGCTCATTATTTCCTGAGGCAGGCAGCTGGCCAGTGTCACTTCTAACAGATCTGATGGTTAGTAAATTTATAGAACTGAAATCTGCCTGCCCCTGTGCATCTTCCACCCCTTCATGATTCCTGATTCTACCCTGTGGGACTAAGTAAAAACAAGTCTAATCAGTCTCTCTTTCACCTGACTGCCCCTCAGGAACTATGGTTGCAGGTCCTCTCTCCCTTCTTCTCCCCCTCCCCTAATCGAAACATCCCTAATTCCTCCAAGAAATCAATATCTGGCATGGTTTCCAGTATGTTCACCCTCCTGGTAAGCCTCTTCAAGACATTCTCCAGCTTTCCCTAAAATGGGAAGGCAGGAACTGACCCTTCCAGACTGGTCAATCAGACCCACCACATCCCCAGTTTCTTGTCAGACTCACTGCAACCTGTCCTTCTCAGATCCTCTATGTCCCCATCCTGTCACCTCTCATCAGATCCCTACACAAGTGAGACGGGGATTAGAAACACGAGCAGAAAGGAAGTCATCTGACCCTATCTCCTCCCATTGACAACTCTGTCTGAGTCTAAGTACCTGCTCCTCAGTCTTGAGCCTGCCCAGTTCCTCTCCCTGTATGAGAATGAGGGGAGAGATTTCTGAGCAGGGTATTGGGGGTTTAACATCTCCCCTCTCTCTGACAGCCAAAGTAGGGTGAGCACCCCAAAGCATCTAGAGGGTGGTTAGAAGAAGCTCACCGGGCCTAGGCTGAGGTTTGGGTGAGAGAGGACCTGGTGTGGGGGTTAGAGAGACAGAGAACGTGAGGGCAAAGGGAGGCATGGGGACTGGGGGCCATGACGTCAGTGGGTAGGCAGGGTCACCACAGGTGGGATGTGGTGGTGGGGACATAGAAGCAGGTGGAGAAGAAGTCACAGGACTTAGAATGAGGAGTCTGTGGGGAACAGGGGTTGAGGAACAAGGTTGGATTCCCAGCCCGTCTGGAGGGTTTCAGCCTGGTGCTGGGCCTCCTGAGAGGAGGAGTCAAGGGCTGACCCCATCGGCGATCGTCCATCTGCTGCCTAGGAGGTTTGTTTCCTATTGCTAATGTCCCGGTTTCCAGGACTCTACCCTCCATATGTTCATATGCTTTCCTGGCAAACACTGAAGTACTGTTTGCTTGACTAGTCTTTGGTGGGACACCTGGGTGTGGCAAGGAAGGGGGCAGAGTCCACCCCCATCACAGCTTCTGCTCAGAGCTGTGCGCTGGCCACATCTGGGTAGGAAGGGAAGGGGACATCCAGTTCTGCAAGCACGGGCCTGGCCCTTGGCCCAAGCCACACTAATATCAATTAGGATGAAGGGACTCACAGGTTCTGTCGCCCCTCCCCCTGCCTTAGGGTAGGAGCTTCTGGTGTATATATAACACCATCTTATATCACTTACTCGGATGTTGTCGAAGGATGCTCTGTTAGTGACATCATAAAGCAGAAGGAGAGCTGTGGACAGAAAGAAGAGAAGGGAGGGCATGTGAGCATCACATAGTCAGTCCCCCATCACACCTCTCTCACATGACGCCTACCTCATCCTAGCCTGTTCACATACCTCAGCAACAGCAAGGGCATCAGGGCTCACGGACTGAGACGTGGGAGCCCAGTATCAACCCTTCCCTTTTCCCCAGGTGCCCCAGGACCCCACTCCGTCCTTTTCCTCACTTCCTTCCTCCCCCCCAATCCTTTGTAAGAATAAGGGCCGCTGTATACAGTTGTGTATGGGTATCCAAACCAGCCCTCTCACTCTGCTCTCCTACTTGGGCATGACCGTCCTCTGGGGATGGACTCAGAGGCTCCCTGGGCCCAGAGCTCACCATGGGCATCCCGGTAATAGGCGTGGGTCACACTTCTGAACCGCTCCTGCCCAGCAGTGTCCCAGATCTGAAACCCAGAGAGGCCATCAAGCCAGAGCTACGATCCCACCTCCCCGAACCCTCGACAAACACTGAAGAGTCTCCACTCGGCCCCACTCCCAGCCCCAGCTCCCACTGACCCCTGGAGCCATCTCTTTGTGTTTACTCACCTGCAGCTTCACTTTCACTCCATCCACATTCAAGACTTTATTCTGAAAGATTAGAAAAAAGGGAGAAAGTCCTGTCACTGCCCCCCAGGGGGAGCTACTGGGCTCAGGCCTAGAGGCAAAGCCAACACAATCTGAAGAGGTCCTAGGAGGAACCTACAGCCTCGAGGCCACATGTGGCCCTCTGGGTCCTCACGTGCGGCCCTTGGACTGAATCCAAACTTCACAGGACAAATCCCCTTAGTAAAAGGATTTGTTCTGTAAAACTTAGACTCAGTCCAAGGGCCGCACTGGAGGATCTAGAGGGCCACATGTGGCCTCGAGGCAGCAGGTTCCCTGACCTTGCTCAAGCCTGACTCCTGGCCCCCGCTACAAGGAGCCTGCAGTCTCATCTACCCACTTGCCTCCAGGGAGCACTCCTCAACCCAACTCAGCCTGGGAACACAAGAGTCTTAAGCCAGCCTCACATGTCTTCACTTTCACCTACAGCTCTCTCTCTAGTCTCACAGGGCTGGAGGCTTCCTCCGGGCAGGAAGGAAGATCCCCTCAGAGTGTCAGGTAGAAGAAGGTTCATCCTAAACTCCCAAAGCCATCAGGCCCAGAGTTCTGATGCCAATGCTCCTCTCCCTTTTCCTTTGGAAAGAGAGTGGATAGGGGGATGGGAAAATATAGGGATCCAACAGATGGGCTCCTGTTCAGACTCATGCCAGCTCACGTTTGCCCTGTTTCCCAAAGGTGTCTAAATTGAGACCTCACTCAGGGAAGGAGCTGGGAGAGAAGCCTACTAAGTTGCTTCTCTTCTCCTTCCCTTCCTCCCCTCCCTTCCCTCTTTTCTACCCATCCTTCAAGGCCTGGCTAAAAGTCTCACCTTCTTTAGAGAAGCTTCCATGACTTCATCGGCCCACGCTGATTCCCCTGTCTCTGAAGACCCATAGCCACACACCTGGGCATTTAGTGTTCTCACTTCACCCTTCAAACTTCCTCTCCTCTCTTTTCTTCTCCTCTCCCTACCCAATCTTCAGGTTCCCCAAGGACAGGGCCTGGGTCAGTTCCTCCTCTTTTTCTTCCTCTCCTTATAACACAGGACTAGGCACTCAGGGAGCTTCACAGATACTTGGTAATTGACTGATTCCTGCCTCAGCTTTGGATCTCATGAGGAGGTGAGAAGTCAGAATCATTAGTGCTAAATGTAAATGAGGAAATCTCATCTAATGAGGAGAGGAAGGTTGGGACAGGGTGGGTAGTGTTAAGAGTCAGGTTCTAGATGTAACACCACCTTACCCCCCAGGTGGGTGAAGCAATTGCATGATGGACAATTCCGTGACACGTATATTGTATAGCTGTAGATATATGACTCCTGATTGACCGAGAAGCCTCTGTAAGTGTGGGAAGACTTGCATGAACTTTTGAATGGTGGAAGCCCCCAAAGCCACACATATGAGGAGTCTGGCCCCCCAACATATCCCTTGAGACCCAGCACTTGCACCCAGACTGCTCAGAATAGACTGCCCTAGTGAGCTCATTCTGTCCTTGACTGAGCTGAGATTTTATCTCATTCTTGAGTGGAAGAACTCATTTACTTTTGTGTATTCTATTCTCTCCTCTAATTTGTATTACTTCCCTGATTTCTGTTTGCTATTTGCTTGCATAAATGTGTTTGCTTGCTATCAAAAACTATCTTTTGTGTGACTAGTGTTGGGTGGGAGGGAGCTAAGCTGGCAAAGAGTAAGCTGACTGTTACCTTCCTCTTAGGAACCAGCAGAGAAAGTGTTTTTGTTTGTTTTTTGTTTTTTTGAATTCCAAAATCCTAAAAGAGCATTTTACTTCTCTACCACAAACATCTGAAGTAATAGGTAGATATGATTCTAACCCAATAGCATAGGAGTGAGTCACTGCCTAAAGGTCTTGCCTATGTAGCCCTCACTCCCTTCTTCCAAGGCCACTGTCAGCTTAGCCACAGCTCTCCACTCCTAACTCTCCACAAATGATAGAAATCGCAGTCTCTCTGAAGCCAGAATGGTCCAGATCCCAGATATCGAAATATTTTATATTCACGCCACACGCAGGTCAGATGTTCCATGGGAGATTGTTATTTATATTACACAGAAAAAACCTAACAGGTGTGTGGCGAAGTGAAAGAATCCCAGACTTATGATCAAATGAGATATTTGTGAAGCACTTAGCACAGTGCCTGACACATAGTAGGTACTGTAGAAATGCTTATTCCCTTCCTGTTCCCCTATGAGTTAAGAAATCTAAGTTCTAATCCCTGTTCCATCTCTTAACTCACAATGTGACCTTCAGCTAGTCACTTACCCCCATGGGCCTGTACATGCAATGAAACCTCTGAGGTTCCTTCTACTATTAACATTTTGCCACTCTTAAGATAATCCATATGGTAGCTATTTCATTCTTCTTCAATGGATCTGTGATCTCATAGTGTGGGTATTCTCTCTAGTCATACAGATTGCAACCAGGCTGCATCCCCCCATAAGTCTCCCACAAAAGGTCCACTCAGCATTGGGGGGGGAGATAGAAGTATCTTATTATTAAGGGGTACCAACGGGTTCCCCATCTGTTATCCCTAGTTCTGGCAGCATGATCAGCTCATCCTGAGTCAAACCAGATCAAAACCCCAAACCAGATCAAAACCCCAAACCAGATCAAAATGTAATGGAGACACATTTAACAAAATAAAAATACAACACAACATAGATAATGTTAATTTGTGGTTTTCTAAGTCAATATGGGCAGGCATATATCTCTATTTGAGTTTGACACCAATGTTTTATAGACTTCTTACCCCAAAATTGGCCTAAATACTGTTAAACATCCTCTAACCCTATTTCTGCCCACAACCTAGATCTCCATTGCCCTTCGGTTGATGGATAATTTTGATTGCTTAGAGATTGTGGCATTTCATGATTTGAAGCCATACATAATCACCAGAAGAAAACTTTTGTTAATCCATTCAAGTCAATTAAAAATTGAACCCAATCAACATTTATTGAGTGTTGACTAGCCTCATCGTGGGAGAATGGGTTTCCAGGGCATAGGGAACTGGGGTATGTGTATGGGGGGCAGGGAATGGGAATCTGTTAGGCAGCATCAACAGATCTTGCCTATTAAGGGTCCTGGGATCATTGAAGTCCCTATGAATATTGAAAACACTGTGATCACTGCAGACACTATCACTATGGACATTGAAGGGTAAAGGGCCTGGAATAGCCTGCATCTGGAATTGGGAGGGGGAAGGCATTGTCAATGACCAGCTATGAATCCTACCCTTCCTTTAGAAGGGGTGGTCCTGGTTATCTCGTCCATCTCCTGCCTCTAAAATCCATCCTCAGAAGTCATGGAGTCAGAGGTAGGAACAAAAGTTACAAACCCAATTATAATTTAACTGATTAGACTTCATTATGGGTAATTAGTGGGTGAAGAACTGATTGAAACTTCAGGCACTAATATTATTCCAATTTTCCCTCGGGGCAGAACTTGCTAAGGATAGAGAAAAGGCCAGTGGGTCTTAATTGAGTAGGGACGTCCAAGGGCTTAGAGACTGTAAGGGAACTTTAACTTGCTAATGACAGACAAACCCCATGCACACTGAGAGATACAGATACCATTCCCTGTATTGGGGGAGGCACATTTTGGGGCTCTGGAAATGATAACGTTTAGATACTGCACCCCCATCACTTCTACTTTTGTCTGAGCTGAAGGCTCCCTAAACATCCCAGCTAGCTTGCCTGTCTCTAACCCTTCCCCTCCACAGATCTGTCGTACTGCACCTCAATCTCTAACAAAAGAACCCCATCCTCCCACATAACCTAGCAGCTGACACGTGGTCAGGCAGGGCTCTGTATATATAGTGCCACCCTTTCCCCACCCACTCCCACTCCCACCTCCAGAAACACACAAGGATGCTGGGCCTTGGGCCTTCTCTGCTGCCAAGCTAATATACCAGGGTAAGGGACAGGAGAAGCAGATACCCAGACTGGACAATCCCATAATCCATCGTTGGTCCCTGGATAACTGGGGGTCAATTAACAGAAATGAAAATTTATACTGTTATATACTGCCATTTAAAAGAACTCCTGATTGCGGCTTCCTCCCTTCCAAGGAACCAGCTGAGCCTCGCCCTCACCTTCTGATTTGTCCCAATTCTCCTCCAGATTTCCCCAGAGCTGCCCACAATTCTGGGGCATTCTCCTTCTATCAAATGAGATAATATCTGTAAAGTGCTTAGCACAGGCCTGGCACGTCATAGGTGCTTCATCGATGTTCGTTTAAGAGCATTTAAGGGAGCAGGGGAGTTGTAGAGCCATACATATCATTCCCACCAGCCAGGCTCTCTTCTCAGAGTATCCTACACATAGCTTGACAACAGCCAGCTTCCTCCTCCCCCTACCTCATGCTTTAGACTTCCCAATGGAAATGCCCTAGCTGGCTCTTACCACCTTTAGGCTGATGGACTATTGCGATAAACTCATAACTGTTCTCCTTGTCTCCACTATTCTCCTCTCTCCCATCCGTCGCACACACAGCTGCCAAACTAATATCTCTAAAACACCAGACCGATCACACCACTGCCCTACTCAGAAATCATCACTGGCTCCCTACTGCCTCCAGGGTAACATCCAAATTCCTCAGCCTGGCATTTAAACTTCTCCACAGTCAGACTCTCACCACCTTTCCCCTCTTATTTCATGGTGCTCTTTGTTTTAGACAAACTAGCCTGCTGGCTCTTCCACGCACACGCTGCTTCATCTCCAGCTTCCATTTCCATCCAAGCAGCCTCCATGTCAACAATGCATTCCCTCCTTATCTCCACCTTACACTGAACATTTCCCTAACTTTCTTCAAAGCACAGCTCAAGTGTTATGTCCTATACAAGGCCTCTCCTGACTCTCCTAGCTATTAGCTCTCTCTCCCTCTTGAAATCACTTTGTATTTACTTATCTGTGTACATATTATACTCCCCAGAAGAATCTAAGTTCCTCAAGGGCAGGGTCTGTTTTAGGTTTGATCTTTGTAGCACAGTGCCT